GGGGGCATTGAAACGTGAAACGAGGAGGACTAGACTTCTTACAAACCTAGACTAATATTATCAAAATATTACACGGATGGCCCGGCCCGGCCCCCCTTCCTCACACTCACACACAGCCCCTGCCTTTTGTTTCTAATCCCTCAAATTTTTACTCTCTGATACATGAATTTTCACATTTTACATTCGAGTCCATATCACGATCTTTCTTTGCATCGTTGGAACTGTACAGTTAGGAATGTACTACATATAATAATATAAATAAAATACATGATGTTTTATAATTTAATTAGGAATATTTTGTTATTAAAGTAGGAGGAGCGGTCAGCTTTTAACACTAGAGTTTGCGAGTGAAAACTGAAAATGATCACGAGGAGGAGAGGCATTGAGTGAGAAGCACAGTTTGCGTGAGGAAATTGAATTGGACAGTATAAAAATCATTTTGGTTTTGTTATATATATTCTGACTTTACGGGACCTTTCGCAGTTCGCTTCACTCACTTGTTTCCTTCCTGCACAATTTTCTGCGATTAATTGTAACACTTTCTCGTACTATCTATCGAAAATGATGTGCACTGCACCTAGTGATGTTAGATTAAATGAGTCGGGCTCGACTTGATAAAGCAAAGTTTGTTAAGGCTCGAAAAAGAAATTTTTGTTACATATATATGACCCTGAACCGATCTGACGAGAATTCAAGTTGAACCCAACCTGTGGTCAATTGGTTGGACCAGGCCGGGTTCCTGTTCCAATCCAAGTCCAGGCTGGGTGACCCATAGCATGTGGCCCATGTCTACCTATCCAATATATATACATACCCTTATAGATTACCTCTTCTCCAAATTAGAATTAATATATACGTTTCAGATATCTTGAATTTTGATATCCCCTCTATATATAATTCCCGAATGCGTTGATCTTACGTGGCTGCTTCTGGTGCTTCGAAATCCTACTTGACGAAGAATCTGCTTTGTAATTAGGTTTGGACGAATAATATTGATATATTAGTAATTAATAATTTAGGTTCGGACATTTCATAAATATTATTTAACTAATTTAGGTATTTTAATATCACTTGTACTAATATAACCATTTAATTCTTTATAATTTTACATAGTGAGGCACTAAGTGACTAATATATCCCTGACTTTTGATTTGTTTCCTACAATTAGATATTGAAATGTAAATATATTTTAAAAGTTGATAACTTTTGTATTTCTTATCCGTTTTACATATATAATATATCAAATTAATTATCTTTTGATGATCTTTGATTTGACATCCATATTGTATATATGAAATAAATACATTATATTTATCTTTATAATAATAAAAAATAATAATAATTACTAAAATTCATTAGAGAAATAAAATTATTTCTCAATTGATATATTTATGTTTAATGTAGTTATATGTTGTAAGTTAAAAAATTATTATAATATAACACAGGTAAGTCGCACAAATAGAAAGTGTCATACTAAATATATAATATATATATATATATATATATATAATTTAAAAGGTATTTAAATTTTCAACTACTTTTTTTATTAATTTTAGATTTTAAGAAAAAAAATAGCAAACACCCGTGTAACACACTGGCCTTGTACTAGTAAAAAAATATTTTTGAAAGTTGAGATTGAAGATAATTAAAATAAAATAAAGAAGGCAACCGAAAATGCTACTTGTTGAGACCATGATTGGATCCAACAAACAACACCTTAAGCTCATACCAAATTTAGCAAAACCAACAAAAACTCCATCAATCCAAACCAAAATGATTAGGCCATTTGGTGCTCTTTGATTCTCATCAAGTGCCTAATTTCTTTTGCCAGTATAAAAGTCAATGATGCAACAATTCATGTCACTTTTGGCATATTCATACTTGAAACTCAACACATTTACCATCAAGTGAAAAAAAAAAAAAAAAAATCTAGTTATAAGGTTGAAATATATTTATAAACTGTGGTAAAACTACAGTCACGTTATGGAATCATTTCATTGAGATTTGTAACCATTAGATGCACATCTATATTAATTATTATATGCATCTAACGGTTACAAATTCCAACGAAATGATTACGTAACAAGATTGTAGCATTTTCCTATAAACTATCAGCTATTTACTAACTTTTTGGCTAGATTTTTACTCAACATAATTACAAATTACTAGGAAATTGAGAATATATATATACACGTAATTGTAGTAAACTTATTTTTACATATAACGAACCTAATTATACAACCATGTTAGAAATGACTAGAAAATTGTTCCTTGTAGTAAAAAAGTAAATCATAGCATGTCATCTACACGATTTAGAACTCTTTGAAAAGCTAAAGGAGGTCCCCCAAGAGAAAATCAATTATCCTACTTTGTGTGGACGACACTATTATGACAATTTTGAAGTAGGCATTTTTTTTTTTTTTGTGTCTTCGTTGTTTGTGCATTGCAAATGGAGCTCGAAGAGTCATTGTTGACAATTCTTTTGGTATAGTGCTAATAATGGACTAGATCAAAATGACTCAATTAAATTCTAGTGTTTTTTCTATTAGTGAAGTTTCTAGAAAAAAAATATATCGAACGACGTAATGCACCTTGGGTCGTTACGGAAACAACCTCCTTGTATAATTACAAAGGTAAGGTTTGCGTACAACTGACCCCCAGACCCCAACCAGTTGGGAATATACTGGGTATGTTGTTGTTGTTGTTGTGTCTTTGTTGTAGACATGGTCACGGGCCGGGCCAGTTGCAGGTTGCCGGTTCCAAGAACCGTCACCGTGGCTTTACGAGTTGTTTCCGAGTCTGATTTTCCTATTTTTGGTCCCGGGCGGGCCGGGACAGGGCCGGTTCACTGGCCCAGCCCTTGATTTTTGGAGGGCCGGTTAAAGGGTCACCCATGGGAGGCCCGCCGGCCCGGCAAGCCCCACCCAGCCCGTTTACTGGCCATCTCTCTACTTTGTTGATAACATTGAGCTACCAAACATACATTTACGGAGGTTTTAACCTTACTATTAACACACCCCGACTGATCAAATGGTTAAAATTCACGTGAGGCATTGCCTTGAGGGCTATGGTGAAATTCATTAAATGGATTCTAGACTCAGTTGTAGACAATCTACCCAACGTACAAAAACGTGGAATTTTCAATTTTGTACGTACCCTATTTATAGCAATTTATGTTTTTTTATTTATTTTATTTTATTATTATTTTTTTTTTAAAAAAATACTCCTATGTATTATTTTGAAGTACAATGGCTCATCCAAATGAAATAAATGCCTGCATTTTGAAGTATTTACAAGTCATGTTTTTCCTGGCTGAGATGATATCTTCTGCTTTCTTCAAATTTCTATCTTCATTATTGTTACATATAACTGGTTAAATTTGGAGTAAATTATAAATGTTTTTGTGTGCTAATAATACAATACTGAAGAATTTTGATTTATTACATTAGCAAGAAACTTCAGAACTGCTGTGAACAATAAAAGTAATTGCAAGCCTGAAAAGGCTAATCTAAAGCAAAAGCCATTACTTGAAAAAAAAAAAAAACATCATTAAAAATTCACCAATGATGCTGAAAGAAAAAAAAAATAAATAAAAAAAAATGAAGAACCATAGCAATTCAGGCTTTGAAAGAGCTTTCAAATTACAGAGACAGATCGGCCAAGTCGAAGGTTCTCGAAACTGCTTTGCACCACGAGTCGGCCTTCTTCTTCCTTGTTTCCTCATCGACGATTGGCCGGAAAATGGTGGGCTTTTCGGTCTTTTCCGCTGCGGAGAATATGTCCTTTTCGGTCCAAATGCCAACAGCTAATCCGGCAGCATAAGCTGCTCCGAGTGCTGTTGTCTCGGTATCAGCCGGCCTCACAACCGGGCTTCCCAAGATGTCGGCCTGCTCGACACGAATATTTAACTTCGTTAGCATGCATAATCAAGTTCACTCCCATAATAACAATAATAATTAATAAAAATATCTAATTATTATGAAAACAAAATGCCAACATTGTAAGTAAACTATATGAGGGGATATGTTGTATGTACAGTTCAAGACGTAAAGCAGGGTTTTTTCCGCAATTAGGCAGAATCTCGGGGAAGTTAGTTAAATTATCACGAGTTGACACAGAAAGTGAAGACATTCAGGAAGAGTCATATATGAGCATATACAAACAGGATGATCATCAAGTACTCTGTCAAACAAGTTCTCTTCAGAAATGTGAATATACTGTTAACAAAACTCTGTGTATAGAGTTTATAAACGATGTGTTCGAGAAGTAGAATGAAGATTTCAACACGAAAGGCTCTCGTATATAAAAATGCCGCTAAAAGTGGATGGCAACAGAACACATTTACAGCAGCCCTTGGAAGGCAACACAGAATATTGCATTGTGAAGTGTAAACTTTCTAACCAAGAAAGAAGCAAGCTAACGGTAAATGTACTTCTACGGATCAAATTCGAAACTCTATCTTGTTCCTTTTGCCATTTCACCACAAAACCTCAAGGGATGGGTTTCTGTTATGATAATCCTCTATACTAAGTCTACTCAAGTCAACAAACAAAAAACACCAGTGCAAAAAAAGGAAAGAATTAACCTGAATTTGCATAAGGAGGTTGTTAACAGTTGCTCCGCCATCAACCCTAAGTAAAAACTCCCCCTTATCCTTCTTAACCTCTCCTTTTTCCCCAGCATCCTTTTGCATTGAGTCCAAAACGTCCTTCACCTGAAAGCACATGCTCTCGAGCACGGCCCGGGCAATGTGGCACTTATTAGTGAACCTTGTGATCCCAATACACACCCCACGGGCATCATCACGCCACCAAGGGGCAAAAAGCCCGTTGAAAGCCGGCACGAAATAAACCCCACCGGACGAGCCCACTTTCATGGCCAGCTCCTCGATTTCACTCGCTGTTTTGATTATCCCGAGCCCATCCCTCAACCACTGGACGGCAGCCCCAGCAATCGCAATCGACCCTTCGAGCGCATAATTGGTCTGGGCCTTGGGCCCAAGCTTGTATGCCAGGGTGCTGAGGAGCCCGTGGTTCGACTGGATTATCTCCTCCCCCGTGTTCAGGAGTATGAAGGCCCCTATGAGATCGAAAAACTATTATAGTATTCATAATATGTCAACAGTGTTGAGATTCTACTATAAATAAGTGGTTTCATTGTAACAGTTCCAAATCCATTTACATTTATCTAATCAAACAATCATTCATGAAGTAGGTACTCAAGACTGGATACAAATGATACTGACATTTCGATCTTCTCTCTGAAAACAAATAATATGTACAAACTCTAAAAACAATTAAAACTTACCTGTACCGTACGTGCTCTTGGCTTCCCCTTTTCGGCACGAGTGTCCCAGCATGGCAGCATGTTGATCGCCAAGACACCCCGCAATTGGAATTCCTGGTATCGGCCATCCTTTGCCGATATTCCCGATAATCTCGGCATTACTCACGATTTTCGGCAAGATTTTGGCGGGAATCCCGAGCGCATCCAGAATCTTCTTGTCCCAGTCGAGCGTCTTGAGGTTCATCAGCATGGTTCTAGAAGCATTCGACACGTCAGTCACGTGCAACCCGTTATTGAGTCCTCCCGTCAGGTTCCAAATCAGCCACGTGTCTATTGTCCCGAAAAGCGCGTCCCCTTTCTCAACAGCTTCCTTGACGGGACCCACGTTTTCCAGCAGCCACAGCACTTTAAGCGCGCTAAAATAAGTGCTTATGGGCAAGCCACATGCCTCGACAAAATGGGTCCTTCCCCCAGGCAACTCCTTCTCAAGCTTTCTGAACAAGAAGGGAGACCGGCTAATCAATTTCTATTCAAATAAAAAAGTGACTTTGAGGGAAATATTCTCACATTACAGCTTATCGGATGAAAAAGGCTGTTCGGAGTGTTTTCTCAAACACCAACTTCTAATTTAGTCCTATATGATATAAGTCAGAAACTAAAGGTAGGGGATTATTTGGATTTATAAATCTGAATTTTGCTCACAGATGATTCACAAACCACTCTCTAAGATGGCTAACTCCAGCAAACGTAATAAAGCCCCCCACAATAAGATGAGGAAAATCCATGAGATGGCCACAGATGAAAATCACTGATATCCACCATACTAAAAACCCATCTCAACTTGTAATTTATCTTTTTATCCCTTCACCCTTTCTTTTGCTTTTGCTTTTGCTTTTGCTTTTGAGAAGGCGAATCCCCTTGCTATTGCTATTGAATCCGGTGCTGATGCTCGAAATCGAAAGAAGCTTTAACCTTAAAACAAAATTCCCCTGCTCTAGGAACAATATCGAAAAACAAAATGGAAGCAAGGAAAGAAAAAAAAGGACCTGCAAACAGAACTGGTCCTAACATCCATCCACACGATGGCATTGTAAAGAGGGCAGCCAGTGGATTTGCTCCAAATAACAGTTGTCTCCCTCTGATTGGTCAAGCCAATGGCTTTGAGCCCACTGTCGACGTTGTGCCCAGCAGCTGTGGCCTTATCAACGGCCTTTGCAATACAAATCCTCACGCTCTCGACGATCTCCATTGGGTCATGCTCCACCCATCTTCCAGACAAAAACGCGAAATGATTTTTCAAGTATTTTACAAAACCAACAACAACAAAAATAGGTAAACCCACGTATCAAATGATCATATAAACTCACAAGATCGAGAAAAAAAGATGCCATTTTTACAGAAAGAACCAATCAAGAAAGACTTGAATCACAAACAAAATATTACAGAGATAAATCAGAAATTGTTGGATGTAAAAATCAAGAAAATGATGAATAAATTACCCCGACTGAGGATAGAACTGGGTGAATTCAACCTGGTGAGATCCAACGGGTTTGGCAGCGCGATCATAAATGATGAATCTTGTGCTGGTTGTGCCTTGATCGATCGAGCCAACGAATACTTCTTTCCCACCGGACATGTTTGTCTACCCTTCTCTTTGTTTGGATTTTTTTCTTGTTTTTTTAGAGAAAAACAAAGCAGAGTGCGCAGTGTGGGTGTGAGTGAAAAAGGGATCAAATGGGATTGTGATTGCTACGAGAGTTTCTTGGGATTGTTGACGGGTGTATCAGATTATATCCATATGGTGTTAATTATTTGGAAATTATGCCTTTGAATTTATAGGAAAAAAAATTCTTTTTTTTTATACTTTTTTTTTTTTCTTTTTTCGCTTTTCCCTTCTTTTGGTTAATAATTTGTGGATTTTATTATGGTGGTTGTTATAATCAAATGTCATGCTGTTAAAAATAATATGAATAATTATTTACCCATCCAAAAAAAGTATATAATTTTAGGGAGATCCTACGGTAACGTTACAGAATTATTCCGCCGGAGTTTGTAATCTTTAGATCAATTATCCCGACGGTTACATGATGATCAAACTTTTATAAACCCAGACGAAATGATTTCGTAACGTGACCGCAACATTTTTCACAATTTATAGTATAAGTACCATTTTAGTTCAAAATCATGACGGGTAAATTGATTCGTTAATCAGGTTTGACTAGGGGATGATGTAATCTTTTAACTAAAAAAATTAGATTTTCGTGTTATACTCTGCTTATAATTCAATTTTCTTTTATCTACAAAGCGTCGAAAGGTGTTATAGCGTCAAAACTTCAACGATCAAGTCAAATTAAATTTTAAAGTATATGATCGTAAGAACTGTTATAAATAATAATTGATCACCATCAAAGATTCGAGTTACCTCCTCGTCATAACAGGAGATTTATGCAGACTTAGCTACTTCATATCACAACATTATTTAGATGGAGAAAATTATCTTTGAATTTCGAATCTTTTCAAATTAAAACAAAAAAATGTGAACATATATTTTTCCTCATCCATTGGATAAGGTAATAGGTCTCTAAAATAACCCAATAGGTCGTGGTAGTAGCTACAAGTCGCTACCTTATCCTGCTACAAAATCCACCGACATATCAACTATTCATTTAACACTACAAAAAAATTGTTATATTTTAAAGAAAAATCAATTAATAATATATTTAATGATATAACTTCTTCTGGAATGATTCCGACAGAAATTCGAAAAAAAAAATGTTGTAATGAGTGTTCCATTGGAATTGTAGATAGAATTTGATGATCCTAACGTTTATTTTTTCAAAAATTTATTACTATAACAATTCCTGTTGGAATATCAATTTCCAATTAATTTT